CTATACTTTGTAGGCCGTGGAAGGGTTGCTTCCCTCAGAGGAACTTTCGGGTTTAGGGTTTAGGGTTTAGGGTTTAGGGTTTAGGGTTTAGGGTTTAGGGTCCCAAGGTGTATAGCGCCTTGCCGTCGGAGATGCAGACAATGATTTTTGAGCCGCGGCCCGAGCTTCGTAGGACGAGTGCAGCACTAAACCTTAAACCCTAAACCCTAATCCCTAAACCGTTAAACCCTAAACCCCAAACCCCTAAACCCTAAACTGTCAAACCCCAAACCCTACGTAATTCCGAACCTACACCTGCAAACCTTCCTACAACCCCCGCCAGCCCCCTTTCCTCCTTCTCCTCCCCAGAGAGCTTGCGAGGCGTGGTCGGCATTGTGTGGGGAATCTGCAGTTTGAGGCTATAGCAACCTTATCAAACCCTGAAGCCGTAAAAGCCTCAGTTCCTAACCCCTAAAACCCTAAAGCCTAAGTACACGAAAGCCCTAAACCCTAAAACTCAAAACCCCCTAAAAGCCTAAATAAACCCCCCAAAACCCTAAACCCCTAAACCCCTAAAGCCGCAAAAACCCTGAAACCGTAAACTCCTAAGCCCTAAACCCAAAAAACCCTTAAAATAAACCCGGAAGAACACCAACAAACCTATAAACCCTGAAACACCCTCAAACACCCTAAAACACCCTAAAACACACAGAAAAAAAATCTAAAAAGCCCTTAAAACGCCATTAAAAATGCCCGAAAACTCTTGTGAATGCCCGGAGATCCGGAGGCCGCCCCCGCCGGGCTGCCGCAAGTGCATCGTGGCCACCAACATTGCCGAGGCGAATAGGGTTGAGGGGTTTAGGGTTTAGGGTTTAGGGTTTATGGGTTTATGGGTTTATGGGTTTAGGGTGTATAGGTTGAAGGTTGAGGGTTGAGGGTTTAGGGGTTGAGGGGTTTTGGGGTTTGGGGTTTAGGGTTTAGGGGACGGGCTGAGGGTTGAGTGGGGCTTTCTAGTTTGTTTTTTTTGTTTTGGTGGGGGCGGAGGGGGGGAGGGCGGGGTGGGGTGGGCAGGGCGGGAGGATGGGGCGCGGAATTGGTGATGCACTTGTGTTGGGTGAAAGTTTTACCTGGTGTCCTGCCTGGTGTGGTTTCGCAATCCAAGCTCTTTTGGGTTCGGGGCTCAGTCCCCACCGTCCCTATGCCGAAAACCACACTCCCCAGTACCCCAAAGCCATCAACCCTGAAAAAAACCTCAAGCCCCCAAAGCCCCAACCCCCCCCCCCCCCCCCAAAAAAAAAAAAAAAAAAACTGTAACCTCCGCCCCAAAACCACCCTCCTAAACAAATCAGCCCCAAGAACCCTACACGCCTCTTGGGCGCAGGCGTCGCTCACCATTGACGGGATCTTCTTCGTGGTGGATCCGGGCATGGCCAAGGTGCTGAACATCCATGGAAATCCCCTCAAAACCAGGTAAGGGTTTGGGGTTTAGGGTTTAGGGTTTAGGGTGTAGGGTTTAGGGTTTAGGGTTTAGGGGTTTAGGGCTTTAGGGGTCAGGGGTTAGGGGTTAGGGGTCAAGGCTTAAGGGTTTAAGTTTAGGGCTTAGGGCTTAGGGTTTTGGGTTTCGGGCCCCCCAAAGCCCTCCATCCCGAAAGCCAACCTCAAAGCCTCCAAATCCCAAGTTGCCCAAGTCCTGACTCAGCGGGAGCTATGACTGGATGGGCTCAGTCAAGAAGGAAGCAAGGCGCCAATGATGGCTGGATCAGCCCTGGCTACCGAAACCCTAAACCCTAACTCCATGACTTTGCAGCCCGAAATCTTACAGACCGCAAGCCGCAAACACAAAGCCCTAGGCCCTAAAGGGGAAAATAAGCCCGCAAACCCAAAACCAGGAGAATCCTGAGCCCTACAGCTCTATGCCCTAAACCCCAACCCTAACTCCTGCACCCTGAGCCCCAAACCCCAAATCCCAAAACCTCACACTCCTAAGCCCAAGCAGGTCAAGATGTACAACTCGAAGACAGGCTCGGTCATCCAAGGGCGCTCTTTTGGGGGGCTTTGTCTTACATGCAGGGATCTGGGGCTTCAGGGTTTAGGGTTTAGGGTTAGGGTTTAGGGTTTAGGGTTTAGGGATGAGGAGGGCCCAAGCCAGCCTCTGAACTGACTGAGCTTTAGGAACGTCGAGTCGTAATGGGGATCCCGGTATGCTCCTCACACCCGCACCCCAAGAGACCTCCAGCCCGAACCCTAAACCCCGAGCCCTAAACCCTAAACCCTAAACCCTAAACCCTAAACCCTAAACTCTAAACCCTAAAACATAAACCCTAAACCCTAAACCCTAAGCCCTAAGCCCTAAGCCCTAAGCCCTAAACCCCAAACCCCAAACCCCAAACCCTAAACCTCACACCCCACACCCTAAACCCTAAACTCCAAAACCCCAAACCTTACTCGAGGACTCTTGGGGTCCCTGGGCCTAGGGAGCCAGTCTTAAGGTTTAGGGTTTAGGGTTTAGGGTTTAGGGTTTAGGGCATAGCCCCTTAGTATGGGCCCTTAAGCAGGGGCACCCCTTATACGCCCACCCGGGGCCCATTCATAAGAACCCGGAGAGGTAAGGGACCATGTAGCCCTAAACCCTGAACCCTGAACCCTAAACCCGAAACCCTAAACCCTAAACCCTAAACCCTAAACCCTAAACCCTAAACCCTACACCCTAAACCCTAAACCCTAAGCCCTAAACCCTCAACCCAAGCTCTAAGCCCTAAGCCCCAAGCCCTAAACCCTAATCCCTAAACCCTAAACCCTGAACCCTGAACCCTAAACCCTAAACCCTAAACCCTAAACCCTAAACCCTTAACCCTAAACCCGAAGAGCCAGGCATGGACTCGTTGCTCATCACGCCGATTAGCCAGGCCGGCGGGGCTTTGGGGCTTCGGGGTTTAGGGTTTAGGGTTTAGGGTTTAGCGTTTGGGGCTTGGGGCTTGGGGCTTTGGGGTTAGGGTTGGGGTTTGGGGTCTAGGGGTTTGGGGTTTAGGGCTTGCGGCTTGGGGCTTTGGGGTTGGGGTTTTGAGTTTCAGGGGTAGGGCTTTGGGGTTTAGGCTTTGAGGCTTGGGGCTTTGGGGTTAGGGCTTGGGATTTGGGTTGAGGGTCTAGCGTTTCAAATTGGGGTTTAGTGGTTTGGCGGTTAGGGTTTAGACATGTTTTGGGGTTCAGGGTTTGGGGGTCTCAGGGGTTTCAGGGTTTTGGGTTTAGGGCTTCGGGATAGATTCTTGGGGGTTCAGGGTTGGTGTGTTCAGGTTTTCGGGTTTTTGCGCGTGGAAGGCCCCCCAAGCTTGAAGCAGCCCTGATAATCGTTGTTCAACCCCACACCCTAAAGCCGGAAAGGGACGAGAGCATTTGCCGCGCTGCCAAAAGAAGAGCCAGCACTTTCTTGCCTGGATGGATGAACTCATCCAACCCTGCAAGGTATTTCCGGAAGTGTGGACCGCTGGACGCTGGAATTTACTGGACACAGCTATCTGCTCGAATCTTACCTACAGTAAGAAGCATACTTGGACGGACATTTCATGTCGTCCTACTTGTAAGGCTTTTTCGCCAGGACCCCCCCCCCCCTGTTGAACTGGTTCATCGAAAATGAATCGATGTTTGCGATTGGCCGATTGGCCTGAACCTGTTTGAGCACAGCTTACAAATGAGGCGCTTCGCGAGGGAGGAGATTAGACATTCTATTCGTGGTCGGGTCAAACAGCGGGGATGATCTCACTCACGCTGCCTGTTGCGCTGGCTCAGGAGTACTTTTTCGGGCTTCCGGTTGGTTTGGTCTCTTCTTGGGTTCCGTGGCTGTGGGGGGGTTTGGTCTCTTGCTGAGCTTTTCGTTCAGGTCCAGGCAACCACAAGGCTTGCAGAGGGTTTGTTTCAGGATGCAGTACCCTAAGCCCTGAACCCTAAACCCTAAACCCTCAACCCTAAACCCTAAACCCTAAACCCTAAACCCCAAACCCCAAACCCTCAACCCTCAACCCCCCGCAGGCCAACGCGAGGCAGCGCTCCGGCCGGGCTGGACGAACAGGGCCCGGCAAGTGCTACCGCGGCTGGGTCGCACTGGCGGCGGTTGGGGGTTTAGGGTTTAGGGTTGAGGGTTTAGGGTTCCCCAAAATAGTAGGATTCCCTGAAAATAGGGACCCCAAGAAGGTCCCCTATTTTTGGGAAGCCCCCAATTGTTTGAAGTTTAGGGTTTGCGGTTGTGCGGTTTAGGGCTTAGGGTGTTTCACGTTGTGTTTTCTCAGGTTTTGCTAAACTTCTTGAGCTTTGTTTGTGCCAAAACCTTGGAGTCTCAGGTGTTAGGGTTAGGTGCTTAGGATTTAGGGCTTTGTCTAGGTCTTGAGGGTGTTTGGTTCTTTGAGCCTCATGGTGCAAGTTGGGTGTCGGGTTTGGCGGGTTTTGGGTTTAGGGTTGAGGGTTTGGGGTTTAGGGTTTTGGGTTTTGGGTCTGCCGGTCCTAGGGTTCAGGTTTCAAGTTTAGGGCTTCGGGGGCTTATACTGAACTGGCATCTCTACCTCCACCACCCCCCAACCCCCCACCCCCCCCCCGGGCCCTCCCCCAGCGGGCTAGGCTTTAGGCTTTGTTTCCTGTCTCGGTTTCGGTTTAGATTTAGTGCGTGCCTCTCTGAGCAATGCAGCGGCTTGAGCATTGTGCTATGTGTGTTGCTGGTGCACCTAGCCTGTGGATTCCAACTACTTCCGTGGCACGTGTGTAGAGACCTGTAGTAGGCACTTGAAGGTTCATGAATACCTATAAGTAGGGTTATAAGAACCTTGACTAAGGTTTTTTTTCCCATAGTTTCCCGACTGATAAATCTAGTTAGAAGTTCAACAGCCGCCATGTCAGAATCATTGTCGGATGAGGAGCGCGACAGCGATCTCGCGGATATAAACGCATATGCTGTGAGCCTTCCTGAATGTAGCTACAGCTCCGTCCTCATCATGCTGCACACAATGCTCCACTCATCAGTGCCTATTGTGGTGCGAATGCTGGTGGTCCTTCCCGAGGTGGCATCTTGTGGTCTGATTGTGTTTGTTCAACTCTTCATCCTGTCATACCTGTGGGAGGAAGTCCAGACAGTGGATGCTTGCAGCATCCACTCGAGTCAAGGGCTGCAATGGACTGCGGCGGCCATCTTCGTTGGGAAGATGATGGCCGAGTTTGGGGAGACTCTGTCCATGCTGATCCTTAGGGAGTACTTGTAAATTTTTGGGCACTTTAATTCTTAAGAGACAGGAAAAACTACAATTTTTGCTAGGGTTCCAGTTCAGTATAGGATCTGGATTTGGGGCAACAAGGTCATCGACATTCGCGTCGTGCAGATGGATGAGCCTAACCCCCTGACGCGTTTTCAAAAGCTCCTCGCCACACTTTTCGTTGTCGTCCCCAAGCTCGTCGTGGCTTGCATCCTGACGTTCGTCGGCACGTACTTCGTCTTCCTGTCTGAGAGCAACACGGACTTGATACTGAACTGCCTAGCCATGACCTTTGTGGTGGAGCTTGATGAGTTGGCATACGCAACCATCTCCAGCGAGTTTTCAAAGAAGGAGGTCCAGAATGTGGTGCCCCTGGTGCTGCACAGCAGCTCGGTAGGCCCTTTGGGACCTTTTTTTGGTGTTTTCCCTGATTGGGTGAAGAGGAGCATGTTCAGGAATAGCCCTAAACCCTAACCCCTAACCCCTAACCCCTAACCCCTAACCCCTAACCCCTAACCCCTAACCCTTAACCCCTAACCCCTAAACCCTAAACCCTAAACCCTAAACCCTAAACCCCAAACCCTAAACCCTAAACCCTAAACCCCGAATATGTCGTTCAGAGGCTTTTTCAGGGCCATCCGAGGCAGCGAGCTGGCCTTTTGTGATTCCATCGTCAGTCCCATCCTTCGGGCTGCCCTGTGGGTGGGGGTGGTGTGGGGAACCTTTCAGGCCCTGCCTGTTTGCTAGTGCGAAGGCGGGAAAAACAAGGATTGGGGTTTAGGGTTTAGGGTTTAGGGTTTAGGGTTTAGGGTTTAGGGTTTAGGGTTTGGGGTTTGGGGTTTGGGGTTTGGGGTTTGGGGTTTAGGGTTTATGGTGGTAGTGCAGTGGAATGGATGAACTTAAGCTGGCGTTTATTTAACGTTAGTAAGTAAAGAAGTAGGTGGTCTACTTCGTATAGTAAGTCATTCTAGTATGTATGACCTGCAAATGGTTCGAGTGAGCCTATGAACCCCCTGCCCTGTGCTGCACCTGCTCAGCACATTCCATGACCCCTCACGTACCGCTTCAGGAGGAGTTTAGGGTTTAGGGTTTAGGGTTTCGGGTTTAGGGGTGGGACCCGGTTTCAAGGATGCGCACAGCCAACCCATCCAAGAACCCGCAGTGCTGAAAGTGCGTTCTCGCGACGCAAAATTAGAGGGATTAAGACTCGTACCCCCCTAAGGCTGTACCCCGACAGGTTCCCTTAATATTCTCCTCATATGGCCCTTATACTTATACTACCTGAAGGATCTTCAAAGCGGGTCCCCAAATCCGAGTGTGCAACCTTGGGGGTGTACAACCTCTAGAATGTGTGGACTCTGTAATCTACGTGGGTTTCTGAGACCCTACACCTTAAAGAGCCCTAAGCCTTAGATTCGAAGCCCGAGCCCAAAACCCTAAAGCCATACTTGGAGGTTCATGGGTACTTGTTATAAGTAGGGTTGTCCCTAAGTAAGGCTATCACCATCGTTACCCTACTTAACACTCTGCGAACGAGTACCCAATGAGCCTCAAAGTAAGCCCGAAACCTACATCCCGAAACCCAAAACCCAAAACCCCTCAACCCCTCAACCCCTCAACCCCTAAACCCTAAACCCTAAACCCTAAACCCTAAACCCTAAACCCTAAACCCCACCAGCCCCAGATGCCCAGGCCTGTACACAGAGCTGGCCTACAGAAACGAGATGCTTCCCACCGCACCGGGCCCAGCTTCGGGTCAGGGCTTAGCGTGTAGGGTTTAGGGTTTAGGGTTTAGGGTTTAGGGTTTAGGGTTTAGGGTTTAGGGTTTAGGGTGTAGGGTTTAGGGTTTAGGGTTGCTTTGGAGCTTCAACAGACTTAGGGGGTTTGTCTAGGATGTACAGGTGCTTCTTGTTCTACACTGTTTTTATTTTTTTATTTTTTAAAATCTCTCTCTATATATATATAGGTACATCTATTTGTATTTTTATTTGTGTTGATTATTTGTGTTAATTATATATATTTCTATATATATACATATATACATACATATATATGTAATATGTATGTATGCGCACATGAAGATGTATATATATATATATATATATACATGTGTATTATTATGTTTGTTTTGGGGCGGTTCTATGGGTCTTCTACGCATGAACGAAACTATGACAGTTGCCCAAGAAGCGGCTCAAATTTTGAGCAGCCATCTGTTAGCATGTTGACTAAGTCCTTGTGTTGGTTTGCGTTTGTCGCTTTAGGCGTGGCGGTGTAGTTTGCGCTTCGGGTTTGGGTTTAGGGCTTAGGGTTTAGGGTTTCGGGTTTAGGGTTTCGGGTTTAGGGTTTAGGGTGTAGGGTGTAGGGTTTAGGGTCTAGGGCTTAGGGTTTAGGTTGATAACACCGAAATCCGAAATCCGCTCAGCACCAGGCCGTGCCAGAGATTCAGAGGACGAATCTCTCCAACACCGTGCTCCTCCTCAAGGCATTGCCGGGAGGAGTGTATTTGATGAAACCCTCAACCCTAAACCCTGAACCCAACACCCTAAACCCTAAACCCTAAACCCAAACCCTAAACCCTGAACCCTCACCCTATAAACCCTACACCCTACACCCTACACCCTAAACCCGAAACCCTAAACCCTAAATCGCAGGCCATGGGCATCATGGACATGCTCAGTTTCGACTTCATGGACTCCCCGCCCGGGCCTGGGAGCTGTCGAGGTGGTATAAGAGATGGGGTTTAGGGTTTAGGGTTCAGGGTTTAGGGTTTGGGGTTTAGGGTTTAGGGACTGGGGTTTAGGGTTCAGGGTTTAGGGTTTAGGGTGCAGGGTGTAGGGTTTAGGGTGTAGGGTATGGGGTTTAGGGTTTAGGGCTTGAAGGTTTGAAGTAGTTAAGCTACCACCACAAGGCGTCATGGATGTTCACTATATCCGCCATTGTGGTACTACTGTATTGGTGAGGGGTTCGTAGCCTGGTTCAGGGAAGGCAGGTCTAGGTAGGGGTTTTAAACAGGGTTTTCTTGTGCCCTAAGCAATAAATTCCTAACCCCCTAACCCCTCAATCCAAAAGTCAGCCCACAAAGGCCAGAGTTAGCCGAGCCCTAAACCCTAAACCCTCAACCCTCAACCTTAAACCCCCCCCCCCCCCCGTGCCTCCCAACCCTCAAAACCGCAAAGCCCTACAAAGCTGAGGCCAGTGGAGACCATGATCAACGCCCTGGAGTCCCTGTGGCCCCGCGTCCTGGGAGTTGAGTGGCTTGCGGTTTCGGGTTTAGGTTGAGGGTTGAGGGTTGGTTGTGGGGTTTAGGGTTTAGGATTTGGGGTTTGGGGTTTAGGGTTGAGGGTTTAGGATTGAAGGTTGTGGGTTTAGGGTTTAGGGCTGCTCTGGTGCTTGCGTGATCAACCCTGCACCCCCAAAGAGTCTTGCTTGAAGCCGGGTGTGGTTTGGACCACTTCCTCGCGCCTAAGCCCTAAACCCTACACCCCAAACCTAGATGGTCCTCATTAACCCATCGGCCACGGGGTCCTTCTTTTCGATGGAATAGCTTGCGCTTAGCCCTGCGCTCTACACTTCCAAGCCCGGTTCGCCATGCGCATGCAGCTTCAGCCCCAATCTCCAAACCCTGCACGCCAACCTCCTAAACCCTAAGCCTTCCACCCCACACTCCTAACCACAAGGATAGGGTTTAAGGTCTAGGGCTTAGGGTTTAGGGTCTAGGATTTAGGATTTAGGATTTAGGGTTTAAACCCTAAGCCGAGGACGCTGGGCTCCCTGGACGACGAGGGCATGCTCACAAACTTAGGCCGAAAGATGGCGGAGCCGGGACCCCCAAAACAGTGCGAGCAGGGAGGACACTCTTTTTTTTTCTTCGCCTCCTGGAAGTAGAAGACGTGGGGTTTAAGGTTTAAGGTTTAGGGTTTATGGTTTAGGGTTTATGGTTTAGGGTTTAGGGTGTCGTTTCCAGGAAGTAGAAGAAGTGGGGTTTAGGGTTTAGGGTTTGGGGTTTAGGGTTGAGGGTTAGGGTTTAGGGTTGTCGAAGGCTTTAGGGTTTCGAGGTTCGGGGTTTTGGGGGTTCAGGGTTTTCCGGGCTTTGGGGTTTGCAGCTTTCGGGTTGGGGGCTTTGGGGCGTTTGGACTTCCGGGCTTAAGGCTTGATTTTAGGTGGGTTGAGGGTTTAGGGTTTAGGGTTTAGGGTTTATGGCTTAGGGTTTAGGGTTTACGAGCTGTTTTGGGTTTTGGCGCTGAGCCGTAGGGCTGTGGAATCAGGAATTTGAGGTTCTGGTTTTAAGGCTGAAGAGCTATGATATGGCTTAAGGGTTTTAGGATGCTGCGCTCAGGCCTGCAAACCCTAAACCCTGCAAAGCCAAAACCCTAAACCCTAAACCCTAAACCCTAAACCCTAAACCCCAATACCCCAATGCCCTCAAACCCTAAAGCCCAAAATCTACACACCGACCCCTCACACCCCAATACCCTAAACCCTGAACCCTGAACCCTAAACCCCCTAAACCCTAAACCCTAAACCCTAAACCCTAAACCCTAAACCCTAAACCCTAAACCCTAAACCCTAAACCCTAAACCCTAAACCCTAAACCCTAAACCCTAAACCCTAAACCCTAAACCCTAAACCCTAAACCCTAAACCCTAAACCCTAAACCCTAAACCCTAAACCCTAAACCCTAAACCCTAAACCCTAAACCCTAAACCCTAAACCCTAAACCCTAAACCCTAAACCCTAAACCCTAAACCCTAAACCCTAAACCCAAACCCTAAACCCTAAACCCTAAACCCTAAACCCTAAACCCTAAACCCTAAACCCTACACCCTAAGCCCTAAGCCTGAGCCCTCAGAAGCCAGGTTCCCGATGGAGCCGGCGCTATCGAAGATGCTCCTGACGTCCGTCGACCTCAGGCCTACTGGGGTTTGGGGTTAGGGGGTTGTACTGAGCTCTAGAAGCCCATATGGATGTTTGTTTCCGAAAGTACGGGGTTTAGGGTTTAGGGTTTAGGGTTTAGGGTTTAGGGTTTAGGGTTTAGGGTTTAGGGTTTAGGGTTTAGGGTTTAGGGTGTTGGGGTGTTGGGGTGTTGGGGTGTTGGGGTGTTGGAGTTCAAGGTTCATGCCTCAGGGGGTTTTAGTGTTTTTTTGCAGGGCTGCTTCGGGGCCTTCAAGCGTTTAGGGGTTCCAGGGGGTCTAGGGCTTTCAGGGTGGCTGGCATTACACTCATCTCAAGCCCCATAGGCCCCAAACCCTAAACCCTCTTCCTCGAAGATTCTGCCCACAGAAGTCTCCTGAACACCCTAAACCCGAAACCCTAAACCCTAAACCTTAATTCCCCGAAGGGTTTCTTTAAAAGGGAGCCCCATGAAACCCGAAGCCCGTTTTATGTTCCAGTTGTGTTGGGGAGGACTGCTGATGCTACTGTTGCATCGGCGGGGCTGGCTCATTCTTTAGATCTTTTCAATCTTCCGTACAGGGCATGTCTGCCAAACCGCCGGCTCTGATGACACTTCTGTGGTGGTGGACTTGGACCTCATGTGCTTACTGGCTAAAACCCAACTTTTCAACTTTTGGGCTTCTTATAAGGTAGTTTATTCTGAAAGTCTCAACTTCAATTTCCTTGGGCTGTGGGCCAGGCAGTGTGGCTCTTGAAAGAGTCACTCATCGAAGGCAAAGTGGT